GCGGCCGGCCCCGGCACCTTGCGCCTTGCCCGGCCCCGGAGAGGCAGGGGTTGCTCAAGGACCTGCAGGTGCCGACAGACCTCCCAGGCCGGGCCTGGGGCTAGCCCCAAAGCCAGAAGATGACACACGCTCCTGTAAGAGACAGCCGCAAGCCAGGAGGAAGCACCCGGGAGAGCCACCACGCCACCTCTGAAGACACCTCATTTGCCACCACGGTGAATGTAACTGCTTTGTTCCTCTTCGGCAGCCTTTCACCTTTCCCTAGAGCAGCCGAAAGACTTCCTCTGAAGACAGCTTGAGAGAGGACAGTCCCGTTGCTTTCATCCTTACTGGCTTCTTTAAGAAGCAGGGGAGAGCTGGGATGCTGGACCTTCGGCAGGATCTGCCCCTCTCTGCACGCCCTGGCTGGAACCTGCCTCCCACCAGGCAGAGAAGTAGGAATGAGAGGCATCCCAACTCCCAGCAGAGGAAAGATTTTACCTGCCTAGCAGATGATCAGTGTGAACTAAGAAGCCCACGTAGGTCAGGGCCACGCCTGGCCAAGTGACCAACTTGCAGGACTTTGCTTCCTGGGACTGAAGCGAAAACAACAGTTACCAGTCATGGATGTCAGCTATGTGGCCAAGGTGTGACCTTTACTGAGAAGAGGCAGGATAGTGCCTGAAGCAAAGGTTTGGGGTCAGATACACCTTTAAGTTTGTTATACGGATATGTACCGTTTTACCTTATGGATAAGCAAAAGGAACACTTTGTCCCTACACTTGCACAGAAAGGGCTGCAAAAAGGCAGGGGCTGTTTTAGAGCTGTCATTCATTTTTAACTTTTTCCTTCCTTTTCCTACAGTTACATTTTCTCCTTTCCCATTTCTTCTCCTCACATAGTCTGTAGAAGTTCATTTCCTACCCCAGTTTTAGAAATGTCTTAACAGAATTTGTTCCTGTTTACAGTCTCCTAATCAAGAAAACAAGTCACATACTTTGTTAATTTTCCTTAGTATTTATCTTTTCCCGCATGTGCAAATTTTCTGATAACTTCCCCAATATTAAAGTGATCAGTAAAGTTTCTCAAAGATTGGTTGTGTTTTCCTAAGCTCTTCCCACACGCTGCTAAGGGGCTTATGGTCTCGTTTACCAAAGTTAATTCCTTTTAGAACTGCCCAGCTCACCCTAATAGGTCCAGGTTGATGTTATCCTCTATTTACTGTTTATTGGGGGAAAGCAGAAAAGACCTAGTAGACACTGGCAAGGGGGGGAAGAGGCTGAGAAGGAATGAGAAGAGGTTAGGGTGGCTTTTGTGCACAGTATAAAAAGCAAGTCAATACCATTGTGAGGGCATTGGAGAGTACTCAAAGCAATCAGCCAGGGGCCATTGTCATGGTTTAATCTACATGTGTGTTTCCCAAGAACTCTATTAGTGAAGGTGAATGGACTGTGCAATGTTCCTAATTTCTTCTAATTTGGAGCTGAATTTTTATGGTACAAAATATGCCTGTCCCTCCAAGAACACTGCATGTATGTAAGAATCCTGTTTGCACAATGCAGCAAAAAAGCAACAAGCTGAAAGATGAAACTGCAGTCTCTGCTTCTGAATAGGGAAGAAGGGGCATTTGGTTAGACCAAGGATTCTCAACCAAGGTGATGCAGCACCCTCAAGTGCCTTGAGATCTTTTCAGGGGTGCCGGGGAGTGTCAAGTAATGTGAGCACTGCTAGGTATGCAAACAGGATTCACAAGATAAACCCAGAGATTTCAAATAAGAATCCCTAGTTCTACAAACACTTTTGCCTGCTGTGTTCTTTCTGAGTTCTTTGCTTTATTATTTTTCTATAGTTAAAAATCAAGTGAAAACTAAGAGCTAACATTTTCTGAAGGGAGCCTTGAATCTATCAAGAACTGACATTTTCTGGAAGGAGCCTTAAGTCTAAAAATATTTTGAGAACCACCGAGTTAGACGTTTGCCTACATGCTGCTTTCTGGGTTCCTGCCTGATCAGAAGAGAAGATACTGTGGGAGATATCATCTCTGTTGATCACAGGGCTGGATTAGTGGTCTAGGCTTGGAGAAGCAACATGTCCAGGCTCCCAAGCCACAGAGAGCAAAAGCAAAACACAGGAGAATCTAGACCTAGCCAATATCTAAGGTTCTCCTCTCTAACATTTTTGCAATCCCATAATCTATCTATTTTAAATATTTATTTGACTGCCATTACATTAGTACTGGAACCCCTCACAATCTTTAATCTATGTATCCCCACAACAGTCTGACAGCAAAAAACAATAATAAATGCCATTTTACAACTCGGGGAGTGAGACACACAAAGAATAAGTGACCCAACCAAGGTAAAAAAAAGAGTCTATGGCAGAATAGAAACTTGAACCTGGTTTTCCCAAGTTCTAGGCCAACATCCTAAATACCTTTCCCAAGCAGAGCGAGTGAGAAAAGAGTATCTAAACACATTAGGTATAACATGAAGTGTCTGAGTACCTTCTTCCCTAGAGACAGAGTTCAGAAAGGAAAGACAGTGGTTGCTGCACCAACAGTCCACGTACTTTATCCCTCAGGCAGAGACCGACACTTGCAGAGTTCAGTTCATCAAAAGAAAGAAAGGTCGCTGACTGAACCTTTACCGTAGATACAAATGCACGAGTCCTGATCGCCTTTTCCTGTAGACCAATACAGCTATAACCTGGATACCTAGCCATGAGCTACATTCTATAAAACAACCACATGCTCAGGGAGCATCCCTGTTAGGGAGCATCCTATTATTCTGATTAGCAAAATAAATGATTGTTATGACCCTTACTGCTGTAATTACTTCTTAAAAATAACAAAAATTAGTGACCCCTTTGTCCCTGTGAGTTTACTAGTTGTTTGCCTTTCCAAGTACTGGTCCTCCTCCTCCTCTCCCCTCCCTCCCAAATCTCTCTCCCTAGTTGAAGACTGCTTTGTGCACATCCTTTCACAGCATCTGATGAAGTGATCCTGGACTCTCAAAAGCTTATGCATCTCTGATTTAGCTAGTCTATAAGGTGTAACCCTGCCCTGTCTTCTGCTTAACAAGAATGAGTGAAAAAGTCAGAGAATCAGTAAAGACTGGTGTTCTTGTATATCAGCTCCTCAGGTACACATAATTCAGACCATTTGTCCCTGCCAGTCATACTCAGATACATGCAAACCTCCTCAACTATACCTTACATGACAGGACAAAATCAGAGCCATAAAACACTGAATAACAGTCTTCTTCCTCTTTCCCATGTCTTGTATTTTTCTTGACCAAACAAATGTTGTCTTCTCCAATATATTTAAACCGGAAAGACACAGAAATAGCTGTATAAATGGTATAATACTTACCAATAGGCATATGCAGTAATGGATTGGAAATGCCTTCCTAAAGGGTAAGCCCTGGTTTAGGTGCACACCTAAGTCTAAACTGAGAGAAAAAGAAACAAAACAGCGCTAGCACATGAACTATTGTAACTTCCATACTCTGTATTTTTTCCTGCAACAGACTTGAACTTGATTTTCTATCCTCCTTGAGTTTATATTATTTCTACTCCTTAAGAGCCAGTTTGAGAGCAAACTTAACATCTCTTAGTTTGCATTGCTTTATTGCTAAGTCCTTGCAGTTCTAGGTAACCTTTGATTCTAGAAATATTTTTAATTTCACATCCACTTGCAATGTTGCCCCTGTTTCTTAAGCTCAAGGTGGCTGAAACAGACGTGCCAAATTAACAACAAAGCCAGAAAGTTTCAGTACCTGCTGTAGCATAAACAGTGAGTACGATATGAATATAGCATGTCATTTCTGTTTATTTGCTCAGTGCCTGGCACAGTTCAGCCTGAGCAGGCTAAAGCTTGCCGGGGGTACCACAGTATACATGTTAAGGAATAAAGAATGATGCACCATTTCTCCCTTAGATGTGAAAAAGTCATGTGTGTGACATCGTGAATCACAGAACTGAGTCCAAAGCACTCCATGGTTTCTCCTGAGAGGGTGGGTTTTCTAGTTTCATGCAGCAAAGCTATATTAATGCAATCCTTCTTTACTTGTTTTCCAATTAGCCTAATTGAATTCAGATTGCTTAAAAGTGGGCACCAGAGACGTTTATCTTGATGGGATGACGGCCCTGAGCTCTCGCGATCCTATTAGCTGTAAGAATGCAAATCCCAGGTAGAGTCCCTTCAGCGGCAGCAGCTCCCATGTGACAGACCCCGGTTAATCTGCTGCTTCTCCCCGTAAACCCCCCACACACAGCCACATACAGCCACACGCTGTCCTGTCATGGGAACCTGTCTTGGGAAGGAGCCTGGTTAGTGAACACACCTTGAGAATGATCCTAATTTATTCACTACTAAAATTAACGTAACAGGTGCACAAATCAGAGATCTGCACTGGAGTGGCCCTGGAGTGGGTTTCTTTTCATGATCTCTAGCAAGTCACTAAGGGTACTCCTTTCAAAAGTGGATACTGCTTGTGAGGTGTTTTGGGCACTCCTGTGGGCCCAACTAAACACATGTTTTTTATAAGCACTGGGTACCAAAATTTCCATGTGAAGACCGTGGGGCCTGGAGTACCAGCACCTTCAAAAACTGATCTCAGCAGGTCTCACCCTAGACACCAGCAGAGGTATTCAAAATGAGTGGTTACTCATGAAAATTTTGGATTTAACATCTCAGTTTCTCCATGCCTGCACTGTGGGAATGATATCTGCCTTAAAAAGTATTTATAATAAATTTCTACTTGGGAAGAGGGTTCAGATCTTTGAAGGGAAGTCTCTGAAATGTGAAGCAACAGAAACACCACTGAGATAGAGAAGTAATAATAATTATCAATGCAATAATAATTTGAACAAAAGGGCCCAAGCCCTTAAACAAATGTGTAAACTTCAGCCTATATTTCTAAAATGCCCACTGCTACCAGGAAAGAGACAGATGATTGACATTACAGTATCAAAATACAATACAATTAAAATATAATAGTCCACAAATAGCAAACATGCCACAGATCATTAAAAAGGTAATGCATTAGAGTGTAAATTATTGGAGGTATGGACTCTCTCTTTGTATCTTGCATGGCACTAAGCAAACTGCCACATTTAACAGATGCCAATAAGAATAAAAAACTTTCCTTTTTAGACTTAAAGTTCTTTGGACAGGGACTGACATTTACAATATGTACAGAATCTCCCAATGCCTGAAGAAGGGTGTTTGTGCCCAAAAGCTTGCAAATAACTTTTTTCCAACTACTTAGTTGGTTTAATAAATGATATCACATCTACCTAAAGAACCTTTCCTGCCTTACAATATGTACAGCACCCTGACTAGGAAGTCCAGCCTGGCCAGTAGCATAACTAGGGCAGGGAAACTAGGGCAGGTGCCCCAGGTGCTGACTTGGGGTGAGGAGGGACAAGAAAAAAAATGCTGCTGCTGCATCCATATGATCACACCAGTGGCATGGCGGCAGCTCAAAGTCAACACTGAGCAGAAGGAGCTTCAGCTTTAAAAATACTCTGAAAAAGGCCCTGTTTCAGTGCGAGTAAAGGAGTCCCACACACCAGTGGTCGCCTCGGTAAAACCTGGCCTTTTGCAGATCCAAGGTTTGATGG